AAAAAAAAAAAAAAAAAAAAAAAATTAAATGAATAAATAAATAAATAAATAAATAAATAAATATCCCCATATATGCTAATGGGTTACGAAAGTGGAATCTCATAGACCAATATCCTCGAGAGACAAAAGTGATAACCAGAAACACCTTCAAACACATCAGATCCCTCTCATTGTACTTCACAGTCTGGCATCAAAATTCACAACACACAAATCAGGGGAAAAAGAAGAAACAAAAAGAACAAGCAGCACTTGCTTAGCAGTTGGGGTAGAACACTTAACACCCAAGCATAATAGATTTATATGAAGTCGAACATGATCACAATATATCATCCACTGACTAAAACATGGAGAAAATTAACTTTTGCCCATATAAGCTTTAAAATAAATCCTCAACTGCGGTACCTGACACGGTCCCTGTCTCGTTCACGGTCACGGTCACGGTCACGATCACGTTCGCGCCCATAATCTCTGTCCCTATCGTACTCGTAACCTCTGTCTCTTTCTCTCTCTCTCTGCCTGTCATACTCCCTGCTACTCCTGTGCCTGTCCCTTTGTCTCTCGTCACGCTCTCTGCCCCTGTCATTACTTCTTTCTCTTCTATCCTTGTCACCTGCACGTGTTGAAACAATTTCCTTATTGTACAATACAAGTGTTATTTCCTTACCATATAAGGTTCTATTTTACTATTACTACTTTATTGTTATTATTATCATCATTATTATAATTATCTGATTTATAGAAAGAATGATAACTATATTATGTAATTCGATTGTACTAAAGGGTTGTATACAAAACATTTAATTTAACACAAATTTAGCATGCTTGTAGTTGCACAAGCAACTGACACAGGATGCTCTGAAAGCACGTGTAGAGGAAAGAGGACCTAAAAGAATTACTTTAGTGAGCTCCAAAAGATACTACACTAGTGAACAGCTTCAACTGAACAGGTGAGTTACTTAAGATACATTCGAAGTCAACCAAGCTGTTCCTAGATTTTGAGGTTATTTTTGCCTTTTGTTTGTTTGCTCTTATGTTTTGTGGGTATACTTCTCAGTCTTCCTCCACCACAGACATGAGAAACTAAAAAGAATAAGCTGCCGAAAATCAACATTGCCCACCTGACATAAGAGCAAACAAATAAGCTGCACTTACTCAGCTGTGTAACACTATCATACTTATGCAGACAAATTGTTCAAAATTGATAGTAAGCATCTGAAGCCAAACTACAACATAGAACATTTATATAATAAATGGGTAGTGGAAACCTAATAGTCTCAAAAATGTTCACAATACAACTAATTTGTAATACAAACTGAAATAGGGCACAAAACCAAATATGGAATACCTAGTTCCTCGACCTCCCATCCTGCACGTCCAGCACCAGGGACGCCCTGAGTCATATCAGCTTGCTGTGTTTTTGCACGGAACTTTTTCTTGAGATTTCCAAACTCATCATACATTTCACCATCGTCCTGTGATCATGTAAATTCATATTCTTGGACTGAAACATATTTTTTCACCACATTTACAAATAAAGTTGAAAATTACTTCTTCAGCCTCTCGCCTGCGCCGTTTTGTTTCTTCAAGCTCTTCTTCATCCAACTCTTTGTAGCCTCCCCCACGTCCTCCTCTAAATATAAAAGAAAAAAGAAAATGATTGTCAGGCCAAGATGTACACACATGTTTAAACAGAGAAAATGAAACTAGACCAAAGCTTTTTCTTCATATCCCAAGAACCCAAATTGAAGATCAAGATGGGCAAAGAAAGTTGACTCAATATGGAATCATCATTTCCTGTGTGATTTCATAAATCAAGATAATGGAAAAGCTTCTTAACAATATGGGAGGAGAAAATCTAAATGAGTGCATAAAATGACCTTATGCTTGATGTTCAGAAGTTAAGCATTGCAAATTAGTAAGTAGAAGATCTGTAAGGATGGCTATATGCTTAAAAGACTTAGATGACAAGTGGAAAGTTCAAAACTCTTCAGAGCGAGTGAAATTTATTCAAAGTGGTTATTAAACATTTAGGACTAGTTTCCGTGTTAGTAGATTGATTTTAAATTAGAAGATGGAACCTAATTTAGAGGATTGACACGTCAAATTTGATAACTAGCTTGATTGGTAAAAAGCGTATTTGATTATCTTTGGCCCAAAATGCAAAATTCTGAGCGTTCTGGAATTTTTTTGGATTTTGAATAGACTGTAAAAACCTCTATTTACCAAACACTCGTTTGAAACCCGCAATAACAATCTGCTAGCTGAATCAGCTATTAATATTCGCTATCAACTATCCGCTATCAGTTAAGCGGAACATGGCCTAAGAGGATCTCCAATGGTCCATGGATTGCTATTTCAGTGACCTAATACATCCTATATGTCATTGAAAATTTCCAGAAGTCTTTCTAGGTATAGAAGTATTTCTAAACATCTTCCATTATATATTATATTATTAACTCAAATTCTCTATCTTCACCAACCAATTACACATGTCAAATTATACTACAATTAACATCAACCATTGAATGTCCATTGCATATGGAGCTGGAAGAGTCATTGTTGACAATTCTCCTGGCATAGTGCTAATAATGGACTATATCAAAATGGCTCAATTAAATTCTAGTGCTTCTTCTATTAGTGAAGTTTCTAGAAAAAAATATATCAAACGACGCAACGCACCTTGGGTCGCTATGGAAACAGCCTCCTTGTATAATTACAAGGGTAAGGTCTGCGTACAACTGACCCCCAGACCCCAACCTGTTGGGAATATAGTGGGTATGTTGATGTTGATGTTGATGTAACATCAACCATTGAAGACATAATTTCTTGATTTCCTTTTTGTATGTTGTACATCTCAAAATGGACAATGTGCCCTTGGAGATGCTCTAAAATATCTCTGTAGTAACTTCGCTCTCAACAAGAGTAACAAGTGTAAGGGATAAGTCATCATAAAATTTCTAACCCTCTGCCCACATTCATTCAATAAAAAATGCAATACAAAGGTATCATCAATACATAGAAGCTAAAATAACAAAAATTTAATATCCACATACCTCACACCACCCTCGCTAACTCCAGGTTTATTGGTGTTGCAGATGTTGCATTTAGTGCGTTTTGCCCAATTAATGTTTCCACACCTGGATCAACAATTGAATAAGAACAATTACTTTGTTGGGTAATTATAAAGACCTTAAACACCGCTACAAGCAACAAATCGCAAAGGAGGTTAGTGTTTCCACACCTGGATCAACAATTGACAAACTAAATAGTTGAGACATTGGACGCGCATACTATAAATAGCAAATAAAGATGAACCGACGTAGTGTCAACATCAAAAGATAGCAAATTGAATTAATGGGGGAATGGTGCTACAATAGGAAATTTCAAAGGAACAAACATCAATCTTATATATGGCCATAAAAGACAGCATGTACTCGAAAAGAGAAATGCCAACACTAATGACACTAGAGAGATCAGATAGTTACAAAAAAAAAAAAAAAAAATATATATATGTCTATGCACATGCAGAAATAAAACCACAAAAGCTTACTCTTGTGGAACTTTAATAGCTAAACAAAACAATCCTTAAATATATCCCTACAATCAACAATAGTATCAGGTGTACACTACCACATACAAGAGCATCTTACCAGCTGGGTTTCAATCATCTGTCCAAATATACATCTCTAGTATGACAAAAGCGAAGTTGAGTAAGAACTAAACCAAAATAAATTATTTTAACAAGGGCAGAGAAACACATAAAGATATGATTTGGGGAGTCCGAGCAAGCGACAACAAAACCATACATCGGACAAGGCCAATCATTCGGACCAAAAAGCCCTCCTCCAGCAGGGCCTGCACCACGAGCACCACCTCCTGAGTCAAGGCCACCCCTCCCCCTTCCTCGGCCACCACCTGAAGCTCCACCGCCGGCAGCGCCCGACGGACGAGCGGTCCCACACCGGTTGCATGCGCCACGAAATGCAAAGTTCACATTGCCACAACTGTTTTCACCACAAAACACATGAAACTATTCGCGCAGCCGGTTATGAGGTTGAACATGGAAAAAGAAATAGCCAAAAAGAGCAAGAATGAGCTGCTCACCAATAATCACATCACAGACCTTGTATTCGAACACAACCAATCCCCATCTTGCTGCCATGCTTTCCCGCCGGCTTCACCACGACCTCTACCTCTCCCAACACCGCCATTAATGTCCTTGTCTCCTTCTGCAACTCCACTGAGATCACCACTCACAACCGGATCGACTGTATGAATCGCCATGTTGTCCTTACTCTTTGACTCAGCGAGAAAGACTCCGATTTTTGATCCATGGAAATCATTGTTGTTGAACCACTCAACAGCGGCTAAGGCAGCATGTGGGTCCTCATAGGTTACGGTGGCATCTCCTTTGGGCTCGTTTGTTGCTTTATCACGGTAAATCCATATTTTGGGACGACCACTTCTTTTGTCTTTCTGTCAAGCATAAGGATGCTCAAGTCCAGAAACCACGTAACGAATAATACATGTCCAAAATTGAAAATACACTAACACACAACACTCAGATGATGGATGTGACAAATGACCAAACTTGCAAAGCTTGGACCAAAGGCTTTGGAGGGTAGGCAAATTAATAATTAACATAAATCACCTACCTTTTCAGTTACACAAAGGGATGCCAAAAACTTGCCAGGGGATGAAGAATGGAATAAAAAGAATATATGAAAGGAGAAAAGAAAAAAAAATATTATCAGCAGCCATACCTTTAGCACGCCAATAGTACCAAAGTGTTCAGCCAGCATATTCTCATCGGTCCCAGAAGGTAAATTACATACATAGACAGACCCATTCGTTGGAGCTCCCGAATAATGTGCCATAATGCTTCAATTTCATGAAAAAAAGTCGCCACAAATACAAAATTGAAAGCCCTCAATCACTCTTTCGACTGCTCTAGTTAATAAGAAATGGAGAGGAACAATGTAATCACAAGTTGGAAAGCCAAAATATAACAACAGAAAAGAGTGATTTCGCGTCGACTAATGGCGTCCCAGATGTAGCTGCAACTAAAATAGTTTCAGTTATAAGCGTCTCCGTTTAATAGTGATGAGCTACAAAGCCGAGCTTTCGATTGAAACAAACTGCAAACGGACATAAACGGGGAGACAAAGCTGACCTGATTTCACCCGCCGCGCCGCCGCAGGTTTACTCCGACGAGATGGATGAGCCAAACCTAGCTGCGAAGAGGATCGGAGCGGAGCCTAGTGGAAAATACACCAGGGATTGCGAGGGTACATCGTGTGTGTGTGTATTTTTTTCTAATAATTTTGACGAATTGGGCCGTGGAGCTTCTCTATGTGCTTCGCCAATTGTAATACTATTACTTCAGGACCCGCCCTAATTATCTTAATGGCCCAAAACTGGACCAGCCTGGGCCGCCCAATCCATCGATTTACGTGTAAAGCCAAATTTATGTGCAGGTGATGGCCTTACCATATCTTTTTTTTTTTNTTTTTTTTTTTTTTTTTTTCCAACGATAAACTAGAATAAAACTCTATATGTGTTTTACAACCGTGATATGAGATATTATATACTCAAGGATCAACCGGTCTACTCAGCCGGTCGAGAAGATCAAACTAGGAGGAAGCTGAGACAAGAAGCGGGAGGATCGATGATTCAAATAGTCGACCAGGCAGGTGGTCGACCAATCTATCGCTCGACCAGATAAGCAATCGAGCAATCTATTCGACCTCATCAAGTCGATCACTTCGAGGATCCAACAGTCGGCCTAGTCACAGGCGCGTGTAGGAACCTCTAACCGAATCTCAGGAGAATATTTACCCCATGTGCAGGGGGACACGTGTCGAGAATACATTGGTGGATACCGATAACCACCTCTGACAGCTCCCCAACGCCCCCGCGCAACCTCTGACATGCGCGCGGTGTGTCAGAGTACGGACGGGCAGCTTGGGCAGCCAGCTCACCTTATCCGGGCAGCTATTAGGGCAGGTATTGTTGGAACCCACGAGGATCTCGATATGCACAAATCACAGACAAACATTCAA